ACATACTTACACACACCTATTTACACACGTACACAGAAACACATATTTACACACATACAAACACACAGAAACACAAATATACAAAAAGGAATTGATACAATGCAAACAGAATCCCTTGTTATTGTAATTAAATTACCATTCAGCTTGCCGCTCAACACGTCAGCATAAAAATAGTACCAGAAACTGTAACGCTAATGTAGTACCACTAGTAGTGGTAGTAGAAGCAGCAGCAGCAGCAGTAGTAATAGTAGTAGTAATAATGATAGTTGTAATGGTAGGAATGGTAGTAGTAGTAGTAGTAGTAGTAGTTGTTGTTGTTGGGTTAGGGTTAGCAAGCAACAGCAATAGTAGTAGTAATTGAGTAGTAATGATAGTAGTAGTAGTAGAAGTAGTAGTACTAGTAGTAGTCGTTGTTGTAGCAGCAGCAGTAGCAGTAGTAGCAGCAGTAAAAGTAGTATTGACAGTAGTTGTAGAAACAATTTTCATAATTACGATGAAAAAACAAGCAACATGTACAAGACAAACACGTACCCAGGATGTTTATTAATGTTGACCCAGCACGCAGTTGAACTCGGGCACACCGCTATTGATTTTTTTTTCACGTATGCAGTTGCGTATGGAGGGCGTCGGCGTATGTATATTAATTAAGAAAACGGCATATCAACTTGAAATAACTCGAGTAATAAACACGTCATCATCATCATCATCATTATTATTATCATTATTATTATTTATTATTATTATCTATCATTCTTCTTATTCTTTTCATGTTCGTACTACCATTAAGTATTTCTAACTATTACAAAAATGCTACTAGCAACATTCACAAAGGCAATAAATAGTAATTTTACTACTAAGACAGCTCTTAGTAATTGCAACAGAAGTAATTTTAAAGTGATATAACACAAATAAAAGTGAAATTGAAATTGAAAAACTCGACAAAAAGGAATGACATTAATTTATTATTAATCTATTATTTTTAACTAATATAAAAGTAATAAATTAGGGGTAGATGAAGGGGGTAAATGAAAGGGGTACTTCCGGAGCTGCCAGCCACAAATTGATATTTTTTTGGGGTTTGGTTCAAACATTCTTAAAAAATCTCGATATAAACATGGGCTAATAACAATTACCTTCTCAATACAGTTTTTATATATTATAAAATACAGGGGGTAACTAACCAAACTGCTCAGGGACTGCCACCCTCCCGAGAAAATAATTTTCCATGATTAAAGTGAAAATTATCAAAGAATTTCTATATAAATATAGATTTACATTAAATAATAAGTAAAAAATGACAAAAAAAAAGAGAAAATAATGTTGTCATCAGTTTGTGAAGCAATGTTTGATATAACCATTATGCTAGAAATATTTAGCGTCAAATTTGACAGTAATTATATTGGCGATAAAAATTATGTATAATTGTATTAGTATAATAATTAATAATTAGTAATAATTTTATTAGTAAAATTACTGCAATAAACAATGGCGTGAGGAGTTAATATTGCAAATGAATTTTGACGTTCATCGTATCACTCGAGCAACTAATTAAAGACAATTGCCTTTATGGTTGTTTGTTTGTATGTGTGTGTGTGTGTGTGTGTGTGTGTGTGTGTGTGTGTGTTGGGGAGTTCTGTATACCTTTTATGTGTGCTTGCTTGTGTCGGTATGTTTGTTTGTTTGTATGTTTGTCTGTGTGCGTACGTTTGCATCATATACAAGAAATTGTATATGAAAATGTTTGTTTAACGTACAGACTGACATAGATACAATAGTTTGTATGTTATACAGTTATACAAACTTTTTTTGTTTCAAAAATTAGTCTGTCAACTGAGTGTTTGAGGTGCAGGATCTAAATAATTCATCAAGGTGAATTGCTTTGAGTTCAAAAAAAAGAATCTACTATTTTTCCATTTCTATTTGAATTTTTTTTTTTTTCAGTAAAAAAAATTTTTTCTAATTAATTTTCATAAAAATTCATTTCAAATTTCATTCTTCAATTTGTGGTTTTTTATAGTTTCTATGAATTCTTGCGTGATATAGTTTTATTCAATTTTTTAGTGGCTACAAATAGCTTTATACACACACACACGCAGACACACACACACACACACACACAAACACACACGCACACACAAACACACACGCACACACACACGGAGTGTTCATTTTTTCGATCAATTTAAATTCTTTTGAAATTTCTGAAACGTTTTAATCTTTCAGTAATTCTGGGAAAAATTTAATCCGTGTCTGCCAGTAATATATATTAATTTTTTTTAAAACTTCGGATGCTGATGATGATAGTGTAGATGGTGATTGTGATGATGATTGTGGTGATGATGATGATTGTGGTGATGATGATGATTGTGATGATGATGATTGTGATGATGATGATTGTGATGATGATGATTGTGATGATGATGATTGTGATGATGATGATTGTGATGATAATGTTGATGATGGTGACGATGATGATTGTATTGTGGGTGAATATGTTGATAATGATGATGTTGATAAAGATCATTTTACTGACGATGATGACGACGATGATGATGGCTTTGTGTGTTGATGACAGTACGAAATCAACTCCATCAACCAACAACATTAGCAATAACATCAACAAAACCAACAACAACAACTAATCATGACGACATCACGACCATAGATAAAACATCATCAAACAGTGTTTTATCTATGCCCGCTCTTTGAAAGCGCCCTACCATCTTCATCACCATGACAACCACTAATGCCGTAGTCATCTATGACGTCAGAGTTCATATTAATAAATATTAATAATATAGCGCTAAGTTTTTGTTGTTATTATTCACTATCGTTATTATCATCTGCTTTGTTGTCTTCGTCATCATCATCCTCATCATCAACATCATCCTCATCTTTATCATCATTATCGTCGTCGTCATCGTCATCATCATCATCCTCGTCATCGTCGTCGTCATCTCGTTATCGATGCTTGCAAAATCTGAAGAGTTATTATCATAATCCGGCTCATCATTATTGCTGGCGTCATGATTGTTGCCATCATCACCACCACCGTTATCATCATCATCATCATTCATCATCGTCGTCATCATCATCATCGTCGCCATCATCATCATCATCACCGTCGTCGTCATCTATGCCTGTTTCATATTATCATCATCGTCTTATCAGCCAAAAATTTCAAACTGGTTCTGAAAACTGGTTCCCAACTACTACTACTATTATTACAACTATTTTACTACTACTACTACTACTACTACTACTACTACTACTACTACTACTACTACTACTACTATTACTACTATTACTACTGTTTTACCACCACTACTACTACTACTACTACTACTACTACTACTACTACTACTACTACTACTACTACCACTACTACTACTACTACTTTGACTCTTACAACTACAATAAATAATAATAATAATAATAATAATAATGGGAACAGATCTTTTATTTTTCCTCAAATGCGTAAAGTCAATAATTAGTTAATTAATAGAGAAATAGTCATGATTATAATAAAATAATAATAATAATAATAACAACAATAACAATAATAATATCAACAATAATAACAACAACAACAATAATAATAAAATTAATAATAATAACAACAATAACAACAACAACAACAATAATAATAATAAAATTAATAATAATAATAACAATAATAATAATAACAATAATAACAACAATAAGAAAATTGATAATAATAATAAAAACGCACTTATGGCGACGAACTGTACGGTGAGGTGGTTGTGCTTCTTAACATTCTCCCACAGGCCAGCCTTGGCTAAATTCTTGTAGCCCAAGTTCGAGGACATTGTTAATTTTTTATTATTTATTATTATTATTATTTTTTATTATTATTATTGTTGTTGTTATTGTTGTTGTTGTTGTTATTCTCGTTTATCATTAGCTGAGGGGGCAGATTTTATTTGGTCTTCGGGCTATTGGTATCCTTAAACGATTACGATTGCATTGATGAGAAAAAATGATAATAGTATAATAATAATAATAATAATTATAATAATAATAATAATAGTAATAAGTATTATTATTATTATAAATAATGATAATAACTGTTATATGAATTCACTTACACATGATAAATTAACTATAAAGTATTTAAGAAATATGAAAATAAGTTACTTGTGTATGTTTGTTTGTATATGTGTGTGTGTGTGAGTTTGCATGTATGTATGTGTGTATGTTTGTGTGTATGTATGTATGTATGTTTTTGTAGAAACCATTGTTAAATGCACGCTCCAAAAGGTGTACAATGCTATATATATGCACCGTACAATTCATTGCGTGTGATATTCATGGATGTATGTATGTACCGTACCTATGTATGTATGTATGTGTGTATTTATTTGTTTATGTATGTATGTATGTATGTATGTATGTATGTATGTATGTATGTATGTATGTATGTATGTATGTATGTATGTATGTATGTATGTATGTATGTTAAAACCAAATCGTGATGAATGACACCAAACAGTCAAACATCTGATTAAAAGGGTTAACATTTTTCGTTAGTCTCACACGTCGGCGTTTAAATTAATATTTTCCGACACACAAACACGCAGAAATCGCTGCAACAAACACGAGATGTGGTTTATTGCAAAAAAGAACTCTCTGTTGTCACCTGACCAAACACCAATCATTTTACACAATGTTTTAATAAATTTTAAAGTATTGGGGTCCATGGGTCCAAGGACCTCGATACATATTGGCAAAAATTCTAAGGAAGGCAGGGCGTGTTCATATTTTTTGATTTTATGTATTTTTATTTTTTTTTGTATGTATGTATGTATGTATGTATGTATGTATGTATGTATGTATGTATGTATGAATGTATGTATGTATGTATGTATGTATGTTGAAGAACATTATGATGATGGTAATAACGCCGACGATGAAGAAGATAATATAGATGATAAGGCTGATAATGTTGACGATGATGATAATGAAAATAAATGAAGAAGATGAAGAAGAAGATGAAGAAAAAGATGATGAGGAGGAAGATAATGAAGATGATGACGTTGATGAAGAAGACGATGAAGAAGAAGATGATGACGTCGATGAAGATGATGACGTTGATGAAGAAGAAGATGATTAAGATGAAGAAGAAGGTGATGAAGATGAAGAAGAAGATGATGAAGATGAAGAAGAAGATGATGATGAAGATAATGACGTTGATGAAGAAGAAAATGATGAAGATGATGAGGATGAACTAATTCTGGGATACTCTACTGGCGTCATGATGTTTCGTTGGCTCATTTCTACTTTAATTTTGTTACCTCATATCGTCATTATTACTACTACAACTGTTCATTTTACTACTAGTAGTTCTAGTTTTACACACACAGTTACACACACACACAGACACACACACAGTTACACACACACACAGACACACACACACACACACGGAACAATATTTGATCTACAACAAATAGAAGCCATCAGCATTTGTTCACGGATGGCAAGGTGGTGTAATGTTTAGGTCTTCACAAGTCCTGGAACTGTGTTCGAACGCACAAGAACAAACAATTATTCAAACACGATGTTGTTAACATGATAAAAATAACACAACTTGGTTTAAGTCATTGGGGGAATGAAAGCTTTTTGGTGGGAATGTCCAAACATTATTATACGTGGTTTGAAACATGTAAGAACGTTTATAAATTTATAAATAGGCGGTTTGAAACATGTAAGAACGTTTATAAATTTATAAATACGTGGTTTGAAACGTGTAAGAACGTTTTTGAATTTATAAATACGTGGTTTGAAACGTGTAAGAACGTTTATAAGTTTTCCATTTTACTTTTTATTTAAATCAAAATAACTTTTTAAAAATCGTCTTTTCAAATGAACTTATCGCTAATAATTTCTTTTTTTTTCATGTTGTATTCAAATCGCATTCTAACCTTAGTTACTTTTAACTAGATCAATGAATTTTTATATATTTTTATATTATGCTACTTGAGTTGAAGCATCAAACATTTTTAGATATGAGATGTCAAATGAAACGTTTAAACTTATCAAACAGACACCTCTATAAAGTATTCAAATTGGAAACCTACGTACCCAGTTTACGAGAATGTTGGCACTTGTATGGCAGTCAGTCAAAATGATGGAAAAAGATGGATTTATTATGTCAGATGTGATGATAGCTATGTGGTCATCTGCATGGCTGGTATGAATTTGTATACCCTAATAAGCAATTTTAAGAAGAATTTTTTTAAAATATATATAGTTTTATTAGGATTTAATAACTTTTTAAGTAATTGAGACCTGAAAATATTTTATTTTTTGCTTTTACTCATAGTTTCCACAAATTTCTCACAATTAAACAACTGGCTTCCTACAAAATAGTTATGAGAAGCTGTTTCAGCAGCAGATGATCTTAGTACAAGTACTATACCGCTGATTGAATAAGCCTAAAATATTAAAAACACTAATATTACAAAACTGATTCAATACACTTTTGAACAAGTTGAAGCGAACTAGCAGATAGTCGCGATGAAGGAAAAACGTCAGGCTTAACAATAGTAAGCAGAGCAATCGAAAGTTTGCTAGACCGGCATGCATGCGTGCACCATTTAATACAGTAACTATTTCAGCCATTCTGAGTATTCATTTTTAAAAGCTTTAGAGAAATTGCAGAGCATTTTTGCACTTTGAATTTGTGATAATTCTTTTCATAACGCTTAACAACGTTTCATAATCCTCACTCTTCTTCGCGTGTTGTAACAAATTCTTCGTCTGTCAGATTCTAATTTTTTAGAGAATAGTAAAAAAAACTTTCTTATGTGGTTTGTTCATCGTTTCTAAACTAGTAGCCAAATGATTTTGGAGTTCATTTTATTATTTCCTGGTCTTCCTTTCTACTTGCATCTCTGACTACTTTCAATTTACTCACTAAGTCTAGATCAAGTTTTAATACCCACATGTTAATGGCAAATTATTTTAAAAGTACAGCTGCACATTACAAACAGAACGTTTCTTTTGCTGCTCTCAACCAGGCAGCTTATACAATCACTCTACAAAAATAAAGTTAAACTTCCATGCAACAAAGACTGAAACATCCACTCCACACGAAGTCCATACACACCACTCACTCACACACTTCCACACCACACAAAGTACATACGTACGGTATATAATAGGATTTAGGTTTCGGACAAACAGTATTCGAGCCAAGTATCGGCGCAACACGAGACATGGCAGCACTACCGACTGAGCCAACTCGCAGCCAACCGAATATAAAAAAACTTGTGATTGATAAGGGAATATTCAAAAATATTCTTAAAGAGACTGAATCATTTGTTGCTCATTTGAACAGGCTTCTTCAAAAATGTTTCATTTTTCGGATAAAGATTTCAGTTGACAACATTTGCCTACCAGGAACTCTGTGACGAAAGATATTGCTTGTGCACAAAAAACGCCACACCTTTCAAGGTGTACAATGGCATAGCGGATGGAAATAGTGAGTGCGTGAAAACAAGGAGCGATGGATGGCAGCTGGAGGTCTACGATGAAGCTGTCAGCGTGCTCGTTGGTAAGTTCATCGGTCAATATTTCTCGGAACTAGGGGGACGAAATATTATGTTGAATTTAAAACCCAACACTGGCTGGCGTTGGATAAACGGAGAGACATGTATGTCTTTTGAGATCATGTTTTAATGTTTTTATTAAAATAACCTAAAAAAAAGTTGAAGGAGATGTAGGAAACCAGAGCGTTGCTGAAAATTTGCTCGGCTTTGTTGAAAGAACCTCAAATGGTAGAGGACAGTTAGTGCCAGCATATTTTGCAGATCAAAATATCTATTCTAGAAAAGCAATTTGCGTGATTCCAAGTAACGTCGTAATAGTTTTCGAAACTTTGTTAAAGATAAGATAAAATTAAACTAAAGCTTTTAGAAATATGATTTTTCATTTAAAATATGAAATTTATGAGTTTGTGAAAAGGTGAGAAAACTTACTGAAAAAAGAATCTATAGAATTCAATAAAACTAATAAACTATGAGGCATAAAATGTTTTTTAGCAATTTTGATATGATTTGATTTATAAGTTTTTGTGTTTACAACGTACGAGCAGCTCCTTAAGCATTATGTTTGAAGATTTTTATTTGATAATCATAAATTAAATATTTTTTTATAGTGGCAACTTTGAAATACGCAAACAAACAAAATATACAAAAAACTATACAAACTCAAACACACACATCACACACACACACAAACACACACACAATACATACTTATAAATGTAATATAACCTAATTCTTACAATAATTTCAAGAATTTCGAGAATAATTATAATAATTACCTCCAACGTTATAAATGATTAACGACATTTTGAGTGTAAGACACGTGTGATATGAGAAAAAAAAATTTGATAACAGAGAGTGCAAAATGTTTTATCGAAATAAGATGACGTCATTTATTGAAATGTGGACTATACGTTAAATTATGTTATGTTAAATATCAGTGCTGTCTGGCATTGCTTGTTTATTGTGTGGATCTATGAGTGTTCGTGTGTTTGTTTGTTGGTAAAGTTGTTTGTTTGTTTGTTGGTATATTTGTTTATTTGATTGTTGGTAAAGTTGTTTGTTTGTGGGTATATTTGTTTGTTTGTTTGTTGGTATATTTGTTTGTTTGTTTGTTGGAAAAGTTGTTTGTTTGTTTGTTTGCTTGCTTGTTGATGTATCTGATGATTATATGAAAAAGGTATGTTGACAGTATTCATGTTTGTCTTGGTTAGATTCTGTATTTTTTTTTTAATTTTAAAATTTTGAAAATATAAATAAAAAATAGATCTTATCAAATTATTTCGTTGCTTTAATAGAATTATTTTATTAACTTTCACTGATTAGCGAATAAACTCAATGTCAGAGTTCAAATAACTGTTATCAACTAACTACATACAGAATGAAAAACATAGAAATCATTTTGATATCAAATTATATTATTATTTTGGAGAGAGTTTACAAATAAACTTTTATAAAAAATGTACACTTAGTCAATTGTTAATTAAAAATAAGTTAATTATAAGATATGTTATCTTTGATTTGATTTAATGAATCAATCAATCAATCAATTAGCTTATAAAGCGCTATTTCCGCGATGTTCAACAGCGCTCCTCAATGAATTTTGAAAACAGATGGGTCTTGAGATCCGCTCTGAACTTCGCAAGTGATGGAGAAATAGTTAGAGAAGTAGGTAGAGAGTTCCAGAGAAAAGGACCAGAAAAAGCAAAAGCAGATTTGGCAAAAGAGTGTTTAACACGAGTTAAGAAAAAGCGAGAAAAAGAAGACGATCGTAAACCGGGGCGTTTAGGTTCAATTAATATATCTGATAAGTACTTAGGAAATAATTTAGATTGAGACTTATACATGAACGTGCAAATTTTAAAAATTATTCTATATTTTATAGGTAGCCAGTGCAAGAGAACAAGATATGGAGATATATGAGAAAAGAAATGGGCACGAGCAACTAGACGAGCAGCAGAGTTAAAAGCTTTACTTAAAGGATAGAGTATAGAGTCAGGAAGACCATAGTAGAGCGAGTTACAATAATCAATCCTAGATAAGACTAACGAAGTAACAAGAAGGAGAAGAGTAGGATCATCAAGAAAAGGCAAAAGTTTTTTTATTCTACGTAGATGAAAGTAAGAACTTCTAGCAACACTATTAATCTGAGAAGAGAGAGACATAGTAGAATCAAAGATAAAACCTAGACTACGAAACTTATGAGAGACATCAAGAGTTTTAGAATCAGGTAAGATAATAGGAGGAATAGTAATTGAGTGTTTAGATTTATTAAAACAAATTAATTCAAACTTAGAAGGATTAAGTTTAAGACACATAGAATCAGACCAAGCGATAATCGAAGAAAGACATAGAGATAAATTATGAAGAACACTATTGAGATTAGATGGAGGAAAAGAAGTATAAATATAAGAATCATCAGCATATAGTTGACTAGAGAAAGAAAAGTTATTAATAATACGAGGTAGTTCAGAAGTATAGAGTATAAATAGAAGAGGGCCAAGGATAGAACCCTGAGGTACCCCGAAAGTAAGAGTAGAGGAGTTAGAAGTAGAATTATTGAGAACAACAGAAGAAAAACGATTACAGAGATAAGAAGAAAACCAAGAATCAGTAATATTAAAAGAAAGATGCAGCAGTCTCAGAATCAATTGATTTGATTTGATTTGACAACATCACACCTGCACATTCAAACTCTGATAAACTCTTTTTTTGTTATCTTCATTGGCACTACCGAGGTTGATCGTATTATAATCCGGTTCAGTTTCTTCCAATGTTGGCAATGTTTCCTGCCTGGCCGATGTAGTAGCCATCGAGACCTCAGGAGAATTCATCAAGATTGATGACAATTTTTTTATTTTTCTAAAAAATTCGGAAAGAAAAATGATAAAAATTTGTTTTTGAAGTGTTTTTCTGAATATATGACTAAATGGTCATATTTTTTTCAAATGTGGAATGATAAACTAAAATTTTCATATAAAACATAAATATTTGTAACAATCTTTGTACTAAATCAAAGAAAATTAGTTTTAAAATAAAATTCAAAATGTTGTACTTACCTGGAATATTTGAAATACAAAAATATGAAAACAGTCGAAATGACAGCTAAAACGCCAAACGCAGCCCATCCAATGACCAATGGAACCATGAGATTTTGGGAAATAACAGTGCCTGTTAATTTTTAGGATTTGATTCTATATTTAGGAAATTTAGTTTTATATCACTTATATTTTGCAATTAATAAAATAAATAAGTTAAACACACTTGTAAAAGTGTTTTGACTTTTTTTTACTATATAAATCTTACCCGTTGATGTGACGCGCTGACCTGGTTCGATTACGCTGTGCGAAGCTTAACAAAGTCCTTTGTCAGAAATGCAGATTAAACCAAAAACAATCGAAATTAAATTCTTTAAACCTTGTCAAAAGATTTAAAAAAATGAGAAATGAAAAAACATAGGAAACGACAATAAAAATGATAAAGTTGATAGGAAACCATTTGTAGTTGGAGTTGTGCTGGTAGGTGCCATGAATGGAATAGTGGATGATGTTGAATGATTGGTAGATATCGAAGATTGCGTTGGTGTTTGATCAGTAGTCGTTGTTGTTGAGCTTTTGTTATCTAGAACAAATGAATTTATTATCTTAAAGACACTATTTTGAAACAAACATTGTTTATTATTTTCAGTATTTTGAGATTGGATATTTGAAATGTTCTTTTGTACTTACCCGTCATGCAAATGATGACGTAGTTGTCATTGCATCTGACGTTATTGACCCAATAACTTCCATCTGCATGACTGATTGCAGAACAGAAACCAGATGTCGGTTCGTAAAAATCTGGGTGGCCAGATTTCCATTTTGAAAATTTCACGGCCGAGTCTTCATAAAAACATATTTTGAAACAATTTTCAGCTTAAATCATAAAAATATTTGTTCATATAATTAGAAAAATTGGAATATAAAACTTTTTACCAGCTTTTCTCCACATGAAGTTAAATCTAGATAGTCCAACCCAGTAACCATCATCTCCCCACAAATTAAGCCATGTCCTGTTGAAGTCTCTGAGTAGCAGATCATCAAATACTGCCAGATCACCACCTTGTCTTATGCATTCATTCTCTTGTTGGTACCACGTGTTGGGATATGGGTTTAACAAAAAGCAACTTGATTTGTAGAACCAGCTGCCCCATTGAGAACAACTGTTTGCATCTGCAACGAAAAATTTCGTTCTACAAACAATGATGGAGTGTAAGACGTTGGCATTACTTTCAATTTTACAAATGGCTTTTTTAGAACTGCTGAAGTAGTCTGCGAAATATCCTAGCACCATTTGTCCAGTAGCATCGTAAGTTCTTTTAATGTAGGCAAGCACGCGGTCAGCAGGAATTTGGTCTCCTATGTTGCCTGAAACTTAATTTCATTGTTTTTATAGTGATTAATTTTCAATTATTTATTAAAAAAAACTTACATTTTACTTTGTTCAACCAAAACCAATCTCCAAAATGATTCATGTTTAGCGGAATATTTCTCCGATCTAAATGCCAATAATATTGACTAATAAATCGATCAACTAGCGAACTGACGTTTCCATCGTAAACCTCCAGTAGCCAGCCATCTCTGTTCAGTTTTCTGCATTCGTTATCTGCATCTGTTGAAACATTGTACAGTCTATACGTGAAGTTGGAATACAAACAGTATCTTTCATCACATAACTCTTGATAACCAGACGTCTTTGTTATAATATACACAAACGAAATAGTAACAATTTGAAACTTTAAAATTAAAAATTCAATCATAATATAAAATGATTTTCACGTCAATTAGGCAAGCGATTATTTAGAAATAAATTGCAGATTTGAAAAATTACAAATGTGAGTGATTAAAAACACGCGCTTTCCAAACAAATGCTCAGGCTCGACATTCTCAACTAGGAAGTCGTCCTGCATGTTTCACGTAGAAAGTTTTATACAGTTCTATATGCATGTTTATTGTGTTTATGTGAATGTTATTTTCTATGTGTATGTATAATTGCGTGAGTCTATGTGTGCGTGAATGTAGGTATGTATGTATAAGAGAGCGTGTGTATGTGTGAGTATTTGTATGTGTTGTTTTGTGTGTGTTTGTATGTTTATTTGTTTATTTACATTTAGTTTAATTTATTTTATTTTATAATTTTAATTAATTTATTTATAACTGTTCTTGCTCAAACTTTATTAAGCTTTGATGAAACTCGCTTAGGTAGAATAGATGTTAATTGCTTGTTATAGATTTATAAGCACATACGCATATTTTTCGTTTATTTGTATGTTTTATTTTAATTCGTGTTTTTGTAATAGATTCTTATACTATACATATGTTATAATTGTTATCTATATTCGTGTGTGTGTGTGTGTTTGTAAGTGTTTGTGTTTGTGCGTGCGTGCTTGTGTACGTATTCATCCATATAACAACAACACGTTTTTAATAAACAAATATAAAAGATAGCTTCCTTGATTGATAACATTTTTTCAAAATAAATTACTTCTCTTTCCATAAACTACTCGTATTTAATATAATTATATGATTGAATAAACAATATATATATTCTCTTTGATATCAGTATATGATTGAATATACAATATACAAATTCTCTTTTATAAAATTATATGATTTTTATGATATGTTTATTCAACAATATATATATATATATATATATATATATATATATATATTATATATATATATATGTATATATATATATATATATATATATATATATGTTGGTAATAGACCATGTTTACAATATTCTATAAATTCTACCGAATGTTTGGCGTTAATATGTTTGTAGTTCGTTTTTTATAACTATATATATATATATATATATATATATATTATTTTGAAATATAGTTTAAGTTAAATGGAAGATAGAAGAGAACTGAATTAAAATTTATATAATGAGAGCGCTTTAGGGTGTGC